TTTGCTTCAATCAGGCCAGATCGGCTAACTCCAGCCAGTGCTGCCCAGCTGCACAACTCACCCGACCAAACCCCGAGGCCTTTGCAGCTCCTTATCAAGACAGCAATGCCTGTTCCTAAGAAGCACAATCAGGAAACATGACATCTGCTTTCAATTGAACGCATTATATACACCCCCCCCCCCACCCTGCTCCAGCTTGAAAACACACACGCTCACAACTGCCAGCTAAAGTTTCACTAGCTTGTGCACAATGAGCTCGTCTGGTTTGAATGTATGCTAGACAGCTGTGGGAATCCTGGTGCAGCAAGGCCACTTAACTTTGTCCAGAGGAAATATTAATCTGTCCAAAATCTAACTGGGTAATCACTTCCACTCACAGATATGGGTGGTTTTATAAAACAGGGTAAATAATTCATCAACAATGCTTTGATTTTTCGTTCCTTCCTTTAATCTTATTGGACAGTCTCAGTACATGCCTTTTTAACGTCTGTAGCACAATGTATCTAGCAATTAATTGAATCTCAGATTCCCCAATCATGTGTCAAAGAGAACAAGTAAACTTTTTTGTGAACTATCTCTTTAAAACTAACAACTTTGATGTTTCATCTTCACAAATAACAAGACTGAGTCCTGCCGTGCTGGAGAGTTGCTAATGCTAACGTTTAGCTTCTACAAGCCGCTGTGGGTTCCGGATCTTCTCAGGCTACCAGATTGACCCGGGGTCCTGCGTCTGCCGATGACGTCACACTAGATGACTGGCTGAACGTAAAACGTCTGGAAGTTACGATACCACATTTGTAAAAGATACGTTGGCACGTTCACACTTTTATTTGTCCACACAAATTAGCGGTTGCAGTCCTCTAGTCCAAAAAACCAACACTTTTCCAGTAAAATATTATTGTATTGCCCAAGGAAACGTAAAATAAAAGCAAAAATATCTACTGATAAATGGAGTCCCTCAACAGCTCTTGATTTTAATGAAATGGATCAAGATAAAAATGAGAGAATTTCATTTTAAAAATGAATGGATGGATGTATTTACATAAGAACTAACAAAATAAGTAGTAAAACTGCACTTTCAAAATAACTAAAGATTTATTTTAATTTTTTCAATGAAAATCACTCTCTTAACGAAGACTTTATGTACGTTTAAGTGTTTTTGTGTGTTTGCATCCAGATGTGTACTTGACCCTGAAATTGGGCTTGGCACATCATGAGGGACTCTTTCCATGAGAGGAATGAACACTCTGCTGTTGACATTGTTTCTGTGAATCTTTAGTGCATCTGTTACTTCAATGAGTGCTATGAAAACAATGATTTACGTAATTACATGCTCATGAGTTGGCAGTGAGGTTGGGCAGGGTTCACTGCCTAACTAAAGAGCCTCCTTAAACCACTTCACAGGACAGGCAGCGCTCAAGCAGCTCTGCAAAAATGGGTTTGATGTGAAGCTTTTGAGCATTTATTTAGAAACTTTCCATGAAGAAAAAAATTCCAACCGTATTTCTAACAGCATAAATGTAAACACATACCAGTCCGGTGTGTTGCTTCATCTTCTCAACAGTCCCACCAAAGGTCAACTCCCATCAACTCATAAAGAGGCTTTTGGGAATTTTGAAGGTTATGGCCAAAGAGGGACTCAAAGAAGCAAAATGTTTAAGTTGACTAAAGCAATATTCAAGGAAATAAAGTTAAAGATGAACATTGCAGTGGTCTCTAGTAGGTGTGAAAGCCACAGGGGGGCGGGGGTATCTGGTGCATCATTCTCAGGAGCTAGATTTGAGCTATTAGAGCTGAGCTTCAGAGGGAAGAATTTGGAGTCACTTCCTAATATTTGGACATCTCACCTCTGATTGGCTGACAGCAACACGACTCAACCACTGACTCAGTTTGGTTTGCATCGTTGTTTTATCTCCACAAATAACAGTTCTGAAGGTGTAGCCAATGCTAACAGCTGGCTTCTACTAGTCAAAACGTTCTCTGCTCTTCCCTGCATGAAAAACTCAGTGACCCATTCTATTCAGAAATAAGATTTGAAACCAGTTTTTTCAGTGGTCCACATCTTTAAATACATTTCATTTTTGTTTTCCAAAGTTGTGTACCATTAAAAATAAATAAATAAAAATGTTTTCTAGTTTTTCTATTTCAAATTATACCGTCCATGCAAAGTTTTAAACCATGTACTCCAAAATGAGAAATAAGAATGTGCCTAGTCCAATCACACTTGTGAAATTGTTCAGCAAATGTTAGCAGACTCAAAAAAAAAAAACAGCCCTATTAATTCAGCCAATTCTCCAACACATTTGATGGTCTCAAGTGTCTGAGCGGATAAGGGTTCCCGGATAGTGTTACTCACATCAGAAAACTGTGGGTTTGGTACGGAAATCCCGGAAACAGCCACTGAAAATCCCCTTAGTTATTCTGAACATGCAGTAAATAAAAACCTCAGTGCCCTGACCAGAAGCTTCTCTGTAGTCTTTCCAGTAGGGATGTCCCATTCCAATATCGATATCAAAAGTAACCCGGTATAGCCCAAAAACACTATCAGATTATATTGGACTGCATCAAAAATCTCCGATTTAAGCAGGTCGTTAAGGTTCACATGTTTGCAACCAATGGTATAAAAGATTTGTCTTTTTATTCATACTTACTGTTATTTGCTCTTGTTCTTCTACTGAGTAATATCACATGATCAAGCCTTTCATACATTCCACATTATGAAACGGGTAAAAGTATGATTTATGCTGGTATCGTATCAGATTGATATCGGTATCAGTCAATACTGAAGGCTGCAATATCGGTACCGTATCGTTAGTGAAAAAGTTGTATGGGGACATACTGTTCGGCAGAGAAACCACATCTCCAGCAGAGAATTTCCTGCTGTTTGAACATCAACAGAAGAAAAGGTCTGGATCTGTTTGACTGTTTCTCTAGAAACTCTTAAGAATTCATGTCTTACCAAAAAAAAAAAAAAAAAAAAAAAACCATTGGTCTCTTCTCTACCTGTTTGTTTTCGGCACTAGCATGTTTCCAGAGTAATCTTTCTGCATCAGTCACCCTCTGTGGAGTAAAGGATTGTGGGTAGCTGTCCTCCCTAAAGCTAACAACGCAAAGCTCCAGGAGTTCTTCTGTATGGATCCATCTACCTAAATGTTAGCTTACACCGCGATGCGTCAACGGTAAATTTAAAAGAGTGATAAAAACCCAAAGAAGCCAAAATAAACCCTCAAACGAGGCTTTAGTAAGTGATTTCCTTTCTGTTCCATAACAAGTAAATAAAAGGACCAACACAACTAGGAGAAACACAAACACAAAATCTCAAACAACATGGCCAATTATAGGGGAAATCCTGTCTTATACTTTAAACCTAACTGACTCCAACGAGGAACTCTATGTGATGCAGGGTTTGTGTGTCTGATCATCACCTCTGTTTCTGAAATAATAAAAAGCCTCCATGTTTTCTCAGCAGCAGCGGATTTAAAAATGATTATATGTGATGGATGGGCGATCTATCCATGGTGTTGTCCCTCTACCTCTCACCGATGGAGATAAACACCAGCTTCCCGTGATCCTAGCGAGGATGAAGTGGGTCTGAACATGGATGGATGAAAAGTATGACTGTTTATTGGTATTTTCTGGGTTTCTAGAAGGCTCATTTAAAAATTCTCCCTTTATCAGCTGTGATTTGCACATGTGACCCAGAAGGGCCATGTTGCAGACTGAGTTTCTTTGACTCTGCAGCTCTATTTAAGAAACATTTTTGTTATTTATCTTGACTATTAAATGTTTAATACCTCTGAATATGGATCCATAGGTTGATATTATATTAGTACAGATTTATAATCCACATCAGATGCAGCTGCCTCTGATGACCTCATTCACATACGTCTCATGAAAGAGGCAGCAGGAATGAATTAGGGAAATCAGTGTGTGATTCAGTTGTAGCCACAACAGAGCTCTGCAGATGGATCTTGTTCAGCTTTCGGACCATTTTAGTGCCATTTATTTTCTTTTCCTGTTTCAGAGCATTGCTGCTCCTGCAGTAAACGTGTGTGATGGCACGGTCTTGTTTTATTTCTGCACCATGAGGCTTTAACAGTCAAACTGCATGATTGACTTGTTTTGTTTTTGTAATATTAGTTTAAAGCTGGTTTTGACTTTTCTCTTTATAGTTTGTAGATCTTAAAATGATTTTCAGTCCAATGTGACGTAATTTGCTTGACTTAACAGTTATGCTGCCATCCTCTTTACGTAAACGATGAACATCTTTTGAGAAGCGTTGCAATGATATTTTTATTAGTCTGTATCTGAGAACTGGTTGAACAATCTCCTTGTAGTTTATTGAAATGTGTTGCAAGCTGGGCTTTTTTCATGCACAGTTTAACACCATCAGATAATGTTGCAGCCTTGCTAAATAAACCTCAGCATCAGCACAACCACATGTGAAATGCATGTTAACTAAACTCCACACCCTTTTCTCAAGCATGCATCAGCTGGCCTCATATTACATCCAACTAAATATAAACACACGTGCATTCGTCAAACACTTTCAATGCCATAAAAACCTGATCGATAGAACAGCAAAGTGTAGGCCAAGGCTAGTAAATCCTTCAAACTGGGCCGTGAATATTAAGATGAGAGGTGGTGGTTTTGTTTTTGTTGAATTCCTAAGTTCAGAATTGAGATTTTATCGTAAATAACATATTTAGAACATCAAAGTGGCTCAAATTGGAAATGATTCCTTTGTTTGCCAAACCAAGACCTGCTCATTCTGACGAAAACCAAATCTTTTCCAAACCCTGTTAAAATAAATAAAGCCTTTGCTGAAACTGTGTTTGCATTCCAGATGCTGAAATGGTTGTAGGGTTAAACCCTGACCATACAAACAAACAGGGCTCCCCTCCAGCCCCACCCCTCCCTCCAAACCCTCCCCAACCCCAAAAGATGAACATCTGATCCCCACAATCTGACCAGTTTGGAATAGAAAATGTTGTACCTACCATTTAAAAGTGGGACGATGAAAAGCAAAGTCAACATTTTGGTTTTCTGTGAAGATGATGCTGCCATTCTGGTCCTGAGAGTACACACACGGGCCCACACACATGCACACACACACACAGTGGTGAGAGAAAAGAGAGGGAAAACGAGAGGAGGGCGAAGCTGGCTGAGCCTAAAGTTTCCTCTTATCCAGAGTGGGACAGGGTGGATAAAGAACCACTTGTGCCCTGTCACTTTTTATATAGCCACCCCCCTTTTCCTCTTACTAAGACCCGGCCCAACACTGGTAAGTTTAACCCTTCCTCTGTGCCCCCACCCCTTTGGAGGAAGAAGCAGATGGAGGGAAACAGGAAAGTTAAGTCTGTGTAGGATCTTCTCTTGCATTCTTTCAATAGTTCTCTCAATATAAATGATTACTTTTTATGAACGCACCAGCACTGCTACTGGTATTTTTAGACAATCCAATAAAAGTTGCTGAAGTGTTTTCAGGCTGTGTTCTTTGTTTCTTTCTTCCATAACACTGAGCTTTAATGTTTGTTTGAATGTGAACCCAGTCTGGATGGGAGCAGTAATCCTCCTCACAATAAAAAGGTGATAACAGACAAAAGGCTGTGGCACTCAGGTCCTTAATAGGCTTATGGAGACAGACAGCAGAGGAGAATATCATAATCGAAACAAAGGTGCAACCCACTGTTATGCTAATGGTATTAATCTATTCCAGTGGCCTGAAGCCCCCGCTGCTGAGCAGGGCTATCAATCACCAGCAGTATTTGTTGAGACACCACAGGATCCGTTTAAAACCTTTCACACATCCAGACTCTTGAAGCACCCCCTGAACCTGAAGGGGCTCTGCTTCATTTTTAGGCCCGAGCAGCGAAGCGCTGCGAAGGCCTATTGTATCTGCTCCGTTTATTAGGCCCGAGCAGTGAAGCTGCGAAGGCCTATTGTATCTGCTCCGTTTATTATTTTTAGGCCCGAGCAGCGAAAGCGCTGCGAAGGCCTCTTGTTTTTGCTCTGTTTATTATTTTTCTTTATTATTATTTTTTGTTATTCTCGTGCCCCTTTGAAAGGCTTTTTGGGGACCTTAGCATACCCCAAAACTCACAATATTTTGCAAACTTGTCAGGCCTGGTGAAAAATTTGATATTTTAAAGGTCCCAAAAAAATCGCACAGAAAATGACTGAACAGCGCCCCCTAGAAAGTGAAAAAAAAACCCTCTCCATAAAGCTTAGTTTATCGTACAGTTATGAAATTTGGTACACTTGTAGTACTCAATAGTCCGCACAGAAAAGTCTCTTGCAAGCATGGTCAATATCAAACAGGAAGTCGGCCATTTTGGGTTGAAATGGCGATTTTTTGCCGTTTTTGCCGTTTTTAGGGTCCGTTGCTGATTGGATTGCTCGATCATTTTTCGCACGATCGTCTCAAAAATTGTGTAAAATTGCTAAGAAGGGATGGGCGAACAAAATTAGATGAGAATTCTGAGTTTTCGTATATGTTGAAGGGGCGGGGCCAGGCCTCGAAGTTTGACTACTCGCCAAAAATATTTAAATTGCTATAACTTCATAACTGAATAGAATAGAGTTACCAAACTTTCTGTGGTCATTCGTCATCCACCCACAAAGTTAATTGAATGGTCGGATGATGACATCACACAAGCCCCGCCCCCTCAGGACCAAAAAGATCAAGTTTTACTGTGAAAGGTCCCAAATTGCCCCATTTCACTTAATCACCACAAATTTGTAGCTGGTAACTCAAGACAAGTGGGGGTTGCTTGGCGTCACTTTATGGGAGTTTTCGGCAGAGGGCGGGGCTGTGGCGGCGCGGCGAATTCAGGCGTACCGCCGTGGCCTTACGTTTGCCTCCCATTTCGTCATTTCCAAAGATATCGTCACGAAACTTCTTGTGAGTGATCCTAGTCCGGCCCCCCAAAAGATCTAATGTGAACATCTGGTGGGCGTGGCCTATTTTCTGAAATAGCGCCCCCTAGGACCATTAAAACTGTCAGCCCCAAGCCATGCTTTGACTGAGGATTACGAAATTTGGTACACTAATGTGGTGTCTCAGGACCTACAAAAAAGTCTCTTGGAGCCAAGTGCAAAGTCGCACAGGAAGTCGGCCATTTTGGTCCAAGTGCGCGATTTAGTGGTTTTCACACACGTTGTTTGGAGAGTGATACTCCGTCGCCCTTTTCACCAATCACTTTCAAACTTCTGCTATATAGTCTTAAGACATAGAGGAAAAAATTCAACCGTCGGATTTTAAATAAGTATAAAGGTGTGGGCGTGGCTAAGCCTCAAACTTTGACCTTTCGCCACGCCACTCTTTTTTTCACAGCTCCTTATTGGACTCCTTTTACCCAATCACAAGGAATCTCTGGTAAATAGCAGCAGGCAAGTTGAGGTCACTTGGTCTCCAGTACTGGAAGGTTTTGAAAAAAGGCGGGGCTTTGGGAGCATGACGAAATTCGCCATCACGCCATGGAAATACGTTTGCCTCTCATTTCTTCATTTATCGTGATATCACCTCGACCATTGTTGTGAGTGATCCTAGTCTGACCCCCAATAGAAAAGGTCAGCTTAAGTTTGTGGGCGTGGCCTATTTTCTGTATTAGCGCCCCCTAGGACCATTAAAACTGTCAGCCCCAAGCCATGCTTTGACTGAGGATTACGAAATTTGGTACACTAATGTGGTGTCTCAGGACCTACAAAAAAGTCTCTTGGAGCCAAGTGCAAAGTCGCACAGGAAGTCAGCCATTTTGGTCCAAGTGCGCGATTTAGTGGTTTTCACACACGTTGTTTGGAGAGTGATGCTCCGTCGCCCTTTTCACCAATCGCCTTCGAGCTTCTGCTATATACTCTTAAGACATAGAGGAAAAAATTCAACCGTCGGATTTTAAATAAGTATAAAGGTGTGGGCGTGGCTAAGCCTCAAACTTTGACCTTTCGCCACGCCACTCTTTTTTTCACAGCTCCCTATTGGACTCCTTTTACCCAATCACCTGGAATCTCTGGTAAATAGCAGCTGACAAGTTGAGGTCACTTGGTCTACAGTACTGGCAGGTTTTGAAAAAAGGCGGGGCTTTGGGAGCATGGCGAAATTCGCCATCACGCCATGGCAATACGTTTGCCTCTCATTTCTTCAATTATCGTGACATCGCCACAAAATGTCTGGTGAGTGATCCTAGTCTGACCCCCAATAGAAATGGGCATCTGAGATTTGTGGGCGTGGCCTATATTCTGAAATAGCGCCCCCTAGGACCATTAAAACTGTCAGCCCCAAGACAAGGTTTGACTGAGGATTACGAAAATTGGTACACTCATGTAGGGTCTCTGGCCCTACAAAAAAGTCTCTTGGAGCCAAGCGCAATTTCGCACAGGAGGTCGGCCATTTTGGTCCAAGTACTCGATTTAGTGGTTTTCGCACACGTTGTTTGGACATTGATGGGCTGTTGCCCTTTACACCGATCACCTTCAAACTTATGCTATGTACTTTTAAGTCAAAGGGGAAAAAATTCAACCGTCGGATTTTAAATAAGTGTAAAGGTGTGGGCGTGGCTAAGCCTCAAACTTTGACCTTTCGCCATGACATTACTTGACTTAATAACTCCCATGTGCATGATCAGATCTAATTCAAACTTTGTCTGTGTGATCACTGACCACATCTCAAGACAACGACAATGTGGACAGCTGACATCACCTAAGCCCCGCCCCCTGACAACAGGAAGTCTATTGTTTTATGGTGAAATGCCCATATTTGTCCCCTCTAATTTAATGAAAATGACACTCAGGTCATACAGTGTCTTCATGATGTTTTAAAGACCATTCAGATCTGATAGCTTTCCAGAAAGGGAGGGGCTTTGATGCCATGGTGAATGCTGGCGTGACGCCATGACCTTACATTTGACTGTAACTTCCACAAACGGCCTCCGATTTGCCCGAAACTGAATATGGCAATGAACAATCATGCCCTTTAGCCAATGAGGCACAAACGGTTGGTGAATGTTATATAATGTCACCAAAGCTGACCTGAATGGGACTTTTCTGTAGTTGGTCACAGCGCCACCTAGATAACGTTATCCTTCGATAACTTTAAAAAACATGGTCAGAATAGCATTAAAGTTGGTCACTGTCATCACACCACCAGTGTGGTAAAGATAGAGGATTCCCTAGTGGTGAGACATAAAATATAATGGTGGGCTCAAAGGGGATGCTGAGTCAGGGTGAGTTGCGGACAAGGTGGCCGTTAGCAGTTTCTGGTGTTGGGGTGGTCGACGTTTGTGTTCTGCGGACGTGCCCTGGTGCCCCGGGCTGCCGGCCAGGCCGGAGCGGCGCGGAGCTGCGAGGGCCGAACGACGCTGCTTGCAGCTTTAATTATTATTTTTCTTTATTTATTATTCCGGTGCCGCTTTGAATGGCTTTTTGGGGACCTTAACATACCCCAAAACTCACAATATTTTGCACACTTGTCAAGCCTGGTGAAAAATTTGATATTTTAAAGGTCCCAAAAAAATCGCAAAGAAAATGGCTGAACAGCGCCCCCTACAAAATGAAAAAAAAACCTCTCCATAAAGCTTAGTTTACCGTACAGTTTTGAAATTTGGTACACTTATAGTACTCAACAGTCCGCACAGAAAAGTCTCTTGCAAGCATGGTCAATATCAAACAGGAAGTCGGCCATTTTGGGTTGAAATGGCGATTTTTCGCCGTTTTTGCCGTTTTTAGGGTCCGTTTCTGATTGGATTGCTCGATCATTTTTTGCACAATCCTCTCAAAAATTGTATACAATTGCTCAGAAGAGATGGGCGAACAAAATGAGACAATAAAATTGACTTTTCGTAAATGCTGAATGGGCGGGGCCAGGCCTCGAAGTTTGACTACTCGCCAAAAAAAATTAAATTGCTATAACTTCATAAATGAATGGAATAGAGTTACCAAACTTTCTGTGGTCATTCGTCATCCACCCACAAAGTAAATTGAATGGTTGGATGATGACATCACACAAGCCCCGCCCCCTCAGGACCAAAAAGGTCAAGTTTTACTGTGAAAGGTCCCAAATTGCCCCATTTCACTTAATCACCACAAATTTGTAGCTGGTAACTCAAGACAAGTGGGGGTTGCTTGGCGTCACTTTATGGGATTTTTCGGCAGAGGGCGGGGCTGTGGCGGGGCGGCGAAGTCAGGCGTACCACCGTGGCCTTACGTTTGCCTCCCATTTCG